GGGGGGGGGGGGGGGGGAGGGGGAAAAACGCGGCAAATCTCATCCCTCGAATTACGATGACTTGTCACGACGCCAAAATGGCGAAATGCCAATTCAATCGAAGTGACAATCTCGCGATTTCGTGACGCGCGACGTTCATAAAGAGATGCGCTCGTCCTGAGAGAGAGGGAGAGAGACGAGCGCGATTGTCGCAGCCAGTTTCCGAGTTCCTGACCCATCTCTTTTGAAGCGGATGCCTCGTCAGAGGCTCTTTTAATCCCGGTGGAGGGTAACAAGAGAAGATAGAAAAGCCGAACAGACGCCAGGAGAAGGGCGCGAGCGTTACTCGGTTAGCGCGCGTCGCGCAGGAAGCTGCGTTTAATATCGATGGAAGACGACCGGCGCAGTTCGCGCGCGATTAACGTCGATGACTACCTGGCCACCCGGCCGGGAAGTAACGAAACTTTAATGCTGCGCATCTGCGCCATTCTCATGTTTTTTCTCCATCCATATCACGATCGACACGGTATCGCGACGCGTCGTATCGCGGATTGTGTAGGCGGTCTCTACGTACGAAGGTCAACGGCGCACGAGCTTTAATCGGAGCCTTGAACGCTATGATTGAAAAAGGTGAACGCCGATTTTGCATATCCAAGTCGCCCGAGAGCGACGCCGTTGATTTTAACCGTCGCCGGGAAGAAACGAGTCGTACGAGTTAGAACGAGGTTGTCCGCCCGGGATCAGGGCTGGTGTTCTCTTACGAAAGCTCTGACATTCGGATCCCGCAGATCCGAAGCCTCGGTGTTCATCATGCGAATTTCAAACATATCGGGCCTCCGAAGCATCGGGATTAGAAGATTTTTTAATTATATTATGTCCGTGTGTGCGACACGGACGTTTATAAAAGTTCATTTAGAACACTTATCAGCATTCCCTGAGTGAAATATACGTACACCGAGGAAAAGATTTCTTCGGATCTAACCAATTTTGTTGCATCCAAACAAGTTTCATCGTTGGCACGGCTTCAAAGAAACTAGTGCTTCGATTGATAAGTGCGACTGTTGGACTTTTCAACGAATATGTGCCTTCATCTTAAGTAAAAAGTTTGTTTGAAACGAAAGATAATTTTCTTATAATGACATTATTTGCTTCATTTTACATATTTATTGCAACCAAATACTATTTTATTTCGTTGAAAGATATTATTTCAGATAATAGAGTTTCTTCTGTTAAATAATCGAGTTTTCTTGAATGAGACGATAAATTTTCTCCTCGAATAATATTTCGCATGAGTATATGTTGTTTCTATGAAACAAATTTTAGTCAAATAAATAGAAACACTAAGTCTAAAGAAAGCTCTTCCTCTGTGTAGATAATTCGTCCACGGCACTCGCAAGATTGTACTCTTCGGAGCTTTGAAACGGAGATTACGGTTTTTGAAAAAATGAACCTCCGAAGCTTCGGCTTACCAAAATTCCGAAGTTCGAGTTTCCCTCGACGCTTCGGAGCTTCAAAATGATCGAAGACCAACAGGGGACGCCTCTCCCTACTCGCGATCTCGTGATTTCTCCCCCGAAGAGCCCTGAGGAATGTCAACAACGTGTTGCGAGGGATTAACTGCGATTACACGCAAACAGAATAAATTAATGCGGACAACCATGGTGTAGCGTTATAATATTTATCACGCGAGGCGAACGCGCAGCGTTATCGGGAAGAAGCGGAACAATGCGGAAAACCACAAAACCGACTCGCGCGTGCTTGTGCATTAACGCGAATGAATTGTCCGTGGTGCTCTATTTATAAAAGCGTCTGTCTCCCTCTTATTCTCCCTCTCTCTCTCTCTCTTCCTCCTTCCTTCTCTCGGCGACATTATTAAAACTGCCTCACGAGCGGATCCAACGGCGGCGCGGATCGAGCCTCGAGTATCGAGCGAACAGAGGCACACTCTTCCGCCTCTGGCCGAGCAGAATTCAGCAGGCCTCGCGAATCTGCCTTTCCGTCGAGTCGGCGGCGCGCGAATTCACACTGACCACATGCGAGAATCCTCGCTTCCGACCCGAGAGAGGTCTGACGTGCTCCGGCGCAAGTTGTACCTTGCATGCCTTCGCCGGCGACACACCGATCGCGTGATCCTCCGCGTGTGCCACAGCGGGGCGTGTTAAAAATGCAACGCAAACGTCGTTTCGTTCGTGCCGGCGCTGTACGCGCGACGGTCGCGCTAATTAAAAAGAATGCATAAATCGGGACGCGACGCGCGCGCGTCTTCGACGCGCGGAAACCTTGGGCGGCAGGAAGTGCGACTTTGAAATACGGCTTTCGCGCGCGTGCAATCTAGATCGTGGGCGAGAAAGAAAGAGAGAGAAAGAGAGAGAGAGAAGCCACGATACCGGGGCGGAAAGAGAAACAAAGTTGGAGGTAAAGAAAAGTGAACAATCGGCCGTGCGACGCCGGTGCGAGGCCGCGCGATAACGACGGCGGGCGAGTCGCGCCGACGAGGAACTACGACGGAGAAGCGGCTTCTAGCCTCGTGTACCTGAACGATTGCACTTCTTATTATTCGGATGAGCTTGGCAGTTAAAGTGGCTCTGGGTGTGCGACTGATACGAGTGCCGGTGCTGGCTGCGTTGCTGCTGCTGCTGACTGATCGGCGACTTGAGGACGCTCAGGACGAGGTCCTCGCGGGAAGGTACGATGATCTGCCGGCTCTGCCGGAAGAGGTTCTCCTGCTCGCCGCGATTCATCCTGCAGCCAAGACGACGACTATGGAGATAGAATCCCGGATACCACTCGCGTCTCCCCCGTCCTGGACCGCTACCTAGCATAACAGCGTGCAGCATCCCGGCTCGATCTTTCCCGTCGCGATCGATGAGCGCCTCTCTGTCTGCCGGACGACCGCCCGAGCGCGCGATTTGTCCATGGTCTCGCCGACGATCGAATCCACCTTCGGGATCTGCGTTCACCGCCAACGAACGTTCATCGGCAAGCCCGGGCTCGCACAATCACACGACTTTACCGCGACAATGGTAGGGATTATCCTGAACCGGCTCGGCTCCTCGTTGGAATCTCAGGTCGCCGGTGGATCAGCTTCGCTTCTTCGCCGATGTAAATCCACCGGAGTAGAATTACCCGGCCTGGCCGTCGTCGGAACCGCCGCCGGTCGCGTTCGAAATGTAGCGCGATGCGTCAGGTGAGACGCAGCCCTCCACGTTGCACATCGTTGATTCCTTTTCTTTTTTTTTTGTGTCTTCAGGGCTCGACTAACGAATTCTCGATATCTCGAGCGTCACGAGTCGGGAGGGGGGGGAGTCCTAGAGATCAGTGGGATCACGTCGGATGTTCGTCCTCGGAGTTTCGCCGTCCCTTTGACGATCACGGGTCTCGTTAATTCCCCGTCTGCAGGATTCAAGAGTCGACGAGGATGTCACGAGAGCTCGTGTCCCATCGCTCACTATCCTCGTCCTTCTCGCAACCCTCAAACTCGTCGCCTACGCTCGTCTCATCAGTCCCGCTCAATTTCATACGGTGGACTGACCCGTGCGCGACTGTGCGACTCACAAGCGAAACCGTCGCCTCCGAGAGAGACGTGGAACGATCGCGAACGCCAGATGTGGCTGCTCGACGGCCGAGTTATGCATAATGTCCCTGATATTGCACGTCCCGCCGTCGAAACTTCTTAGACGCTCCGGGGAGGAGAACGTGCATGTGCGGGCCGTGGGTGAGAGGGCAATAGGACAGATAGTAAGCGAAGGAAGTCAGAGACAGAGAGAAAGAGAGAGAGAGAGAGAAGCGGAGGAAAAGAGAATAAAGTAAGGTGGGAAGGGGAGAGGAGGGGAAGAGAGAGATAGATGATAGACGAGGGGTATGAGAAGATCGAAATATCCTCGCCCCGGTGGCTGGAAGATGGATGTCGATTTGCGAACTGGGGATGCTGGGGGACCTCGCGATCGATCTTACCTACGGAAATCCTCCGAGTATTTATTCGGACTAATATGGTAATGGGATTCCGCGACTCCCCCGAGTCTCCTTTCCTTCGGCGAGTATCTCTCGCGCTGCGCCCGAATACGTTCGATTATCGTTCGTCAAGCGAGATCGTCGAGTGTACTCGGCGCGTGATCGTCTCCTCCGCGGCACCACGTTGCGATCTCTCTCTCTCTCTCTTTCTTTCTTTCTCTCTTCCCCCTCTCTCTCCCTCACCCTCCGACGTTCGTTCGCGTCGCTCGTTATCGCGAACGCGAGGTCTCTTATTTTCGTCTATTTGCCGTTCCTTCCCCGTCGCTCTTAATCTCACCTCACGCCGCTGGCAAAGCGGCTTTGTCTTTCCCTCTGACTCTCTCTAGGACGTTCCGAACAATGGCGTATCCGCGACGAGACCTAACATTTCTTCCGGAACATCATCCCCGCGGCCCGAGACGCCTTTAATCTTCCACTCGAGGAGGTCCGCGCGGAGACTCTTCTCCGAAGACCGATTCACGAATTCCCCGCCGATAATTACCGCCCGGGCGTACCAACAGGATCGTGTATTCGTTATATCCTCGATATCTCCCCCTGGTATCCTAACAATTCTTCCACGTCGAATCTTCCGGAAATGAAACCGCGATTTCTCACTCTCTCTTAAATCGAAAAAGAGGAAAGAAGAATCTTCCAGGGTAGCCGCTCTTGCGAGTCGCAAGTACGAGGTGTGGTGGTGTCGCAACGATGTCGACGACGCGATGAGGACCTCCGCTGTCCTCCTCTCCCCCGGAAAAACGAAACGACCCGCCGGTTAACGTCCGCGAGAAGCGACGCGAAATCGTCCTTCTTAATGCACTGCTATGATTGCTTTGTTGTTGCTCTTAGGGTTACGATGCGAAATCACAGAGGTTCGACTCCGTAGGGTCAGGATCATCGGGGGACGCCCGCAGAGAGGGGCTCTCTCGCATTCACAGACGCCTTAATCCCTCTTAGCGCCGTCGCTCCAAAGCCACTTCCGGAGGATACACATACACACACTCTCGGCTGCTTACACGGCCACAAAGCTATGTTAACAATGTTTATCTTAACAACGTTCTCCCCGACGTTTCTATGTAAGGAGGGCCGGGG